ATAAACTCATCACCTAATTTTAATTATTGCTTAGCATGTGATGATGGCTTTTGGGTGCAACGAGGACCACTCCGACACTACAACCCAAGAGCTCTGCATAGTTAGCTGAATTATTAATAATATGAATAGGATGGCACCGCTGCCTCACTTTGGAAGCAATAATTTTGCTGAACAAAGCAGGAGAGTAAAGCACTGCAGAAAAGCACCTCATGGAGAACCGACTTTTTGGGTGCCAAGAAAACAAAAGGATCAAATGTATTTTTATGCAAAGAAAATAGTTTGATGGGTCAAGGATATGACAAGACTTGGACTAGGAAACAGGCATATTACACCATGATTGTGACTACACGTGTCGAATACACAATCCCATATGGAGGCCCACAAGGGAGAAAGCACGAGTTTTCACTTGGACCCGTAAACTTTTGTCAATATTAAGAAGCTAATAAATAATAATAATAATAAAAATCCAAATACGAAGGGGGCATTTCCACAGTGTTATTAAATCTGATTTCGCTTCTTGAATCAATCCGGGTCATGAGCCAGCTGGTTCATCAGCTTTGACCCCTCTGCTACCAAAAAAAAACGAAGTGATTATGGCGTGTGTGCCATGATCTTTTGTGCATTGCGCAAAACCCAAGATTTGTCGGCTTGGAACCCTCCAACCTCGGCAGCATCTCCTTAGCCCATCATCATGCTTATCTCTCTCTACACATATGCTAGAAAATTTTTAGCTTCGAGGAGGAAGCATAGGCAGTGACTGACTGATCTTTTCACTTGGTACTTTTATTTAACATGTGCTGACAAACAGAACCAAACACACCCGCAAGGCAACCACACAGGCACCCCACTAACGTACGTTTTCAGCAAGTTCTCGGCGTATTTCTAGGGTTCTCTTTTGAGTTTCATGACCTGAACCACCCCACCACCTCTTCCCATGTCCCCGATGTGTCCAGATTATGCTATAAAGCGGACAAACGTAGTTTAGAATGGGTTAGTATGTGAGCTCGCCAGGAAGGACGTCAGGCTTTTGCTTTACTGTTGATAACGTTGAGTTTTTCTATATTGATGCTTTTGTTTTTTAAATTCATGACTAGTGCTCCTGTTGGTCTTGGAGCATGTGTTGTTGTGTACCGTTTGATATGGACCATAAAGTTGACCTCACTTGCATGTGACATGCTCTGAATTTGGTTAAAAGGAAATTGGTGGAAAAGCTGAGGATGGAGCCTTTTTTAATCACCACAGTACAAGATTTTCACTGATTTCGCATCTGATTATGGACTGTAATATGAATTTGTCGGGCCAAGTTTAATAACACTACCGTTTAAACCTTTTAATATTCTAAATTGTTTAGTTAGAACTGATCATGTTCAGGAATATTAATAGTAAACTAACAAGATAGGCACGATGAACTTAAAATATATGTCTACGTACATGATATATTCCCTGGATCAAAATTATATGAAATGTTTCTTATTATTTCTTTTTTGATGAGCTTGCACGTATCTTTTTTATGAACTTATTTTAAATCAAGATGATGGGTTTTTTTAATCATATTTTGCACTCCAACATTAAATGAATTTCAATTCAATCAAAAGGCAAATTGTATAAATATTCGGTCGGAGATGGATCCATGTAGCTACTACATATGGACAGCAACTCCTAAGATTCATAATCATCCCTCGAGTTCAATGAATTTTTTTCTCAATAAAGGGAATTCTTTATGTTCATTCCAAATTAAGAGGTTACTCAATTATCAACCCTAACATGTAATTCCGAATTATGAAATATTCTAATATAGGCTACCAACTTAATTACTTCCGTCACAACATTTAATCCATGTATCAAAGACCGATGTCATAAATAGCCTAGTCTCGACCAGTCTACCAAAACCCATAAAAAAAAATTATTCTTTTTCTTTTTTGGGTAGATGAAGAAAAAAATTCTCTTTCATGGAAGTCATTATCCTCATCAATTACTTTAAAAAAAAAAAAATCAAGGGCTTGCTCAATGGGCAAAAGACTACAATCTATACCTTACCTTTCTAGAGATTCAAACCTTGGAATCACTATCCAAGAAAATTCATTAAACTTCCATTGAATATCTCAAACAAATGTAAATGATTCATCATTAAAATTGTCTAAGAAAAAATCTAGTCTTGATATTTAACACATTCCCACCCCAGAATATCTTTCTTTCTTCCTTTCTTTCTCTTAATAATGATCAAGTTGTTCTATTTCAATGCCTGTTTACCATTGAGACAATGACGTCTCAGTTGCAATAAAGTTATGAAAAATACAAGTAAAAACGTTCATCTGCAAAGATCAAAGCAAAAATATAGTGAAACAGTTGAAGTGGGAAAACCAGAAAGAAAGGAATAAAGTGAATAGTTGAAGATTGGATAGAACTTTGAAGAATGCACCTCACCTACCCCAAGCTGTAGCTTAGCACCTAGCAGAAGAATTGTAATCTATGCAAGGCAAGAGCACGCATGTCGACCAACGTACGGCCACAGGAGACATAAATATAGTACCTCTTTTCTTGTTTGGTTCCCTTCGTCGTACCGTACATTGTTTTTATTTTCATTGTTTTTACACCTTGTATTTTACGCTGCTTCTATTCTTTTCAATACTAATAGTATTTATTGCTATTGTTATCATTATCTGTACTGCCTGTGCACACGTGGTGGGCCTGCTCTGTTACCAAAGAGTGTTCATATCTGATGTGTCATGTCTTCTATGACACTTGGCACATGCTAAAGCTAAATGCCAACACCCCCCCCCCCCCCCCCCTCTTGGGTTAAAGTGAAAAATGGCTGGTGCATGCTCATCTTTTTAATTGTAAAATATTTTTTTAACGGCGGTGACAATGAAAATTAAAAATAATAAAGGATAAGAATATAATAATTAAAATTGTTAGATGATATTATAAATAAATTATTATTTATAAAATTTTATAAAGTAATCAAGTCGTTTTAATTCACGAGAACGTTTGCTATTTCTTTACTCAGTTGCCATGGTGTTAGATTCATCCTTCCCTATAATGTATTTAATTTTAATTTATGAATAAGTTCGTCGTCCCAAAATGAATAACAAGTCTTGTTCTATATCAAATAAATCATTAAATATTCGAAGTTAAGATTGGTTCCTATTACGTTAATGATTGTTTTGCAAGCAAACGACACTTCCTGCTTAGTGAGAAATCCCCCCATTACTCTTAATTGACTAATTATTATTTCCAACATGATTATTATTATGATCATGTATTTCCCCAACATAATTATGTGCTATCCTAATTAAATTGTCGGCTGGGCCGAGTAAAATAATAATAATAATAAAAGTGCAAGGGTTAAAGAGGATCATGCCTATTTCAATTGAGAAGTACAACTATAATCACACTTTCCCAATTTTTTTTTATGACAAATTATACCGTTCAAAAATTAATGATTGCCTGGTCAGAAAATATCAACGAAAACAAAGCAGGAAAAGAGGACAATGGACCCACCATCTCATACGTGGACCACTAATAGTTTGAAAAATATTTTAATAAAAAACTAAATTTGTTTTATTTTAAATTAATTTTTAATGTTTTTATATCCAGGACAAATTTAAATTTATAAAATAAAAAATATTATCTCAAAAAATATTTTAAAAAATAATTACAAATCTTAAGCCATGTATGATAAAACCTTAATAGAAAAATCAGGCTAAAAAAAACTAATTAAGGGGAGAGAAATTAAGCCTAAAGGGGGGGATATTATGTATTATTTAAGGAAGAAACTTGAAAAAAAACAAGAATTAAAAAAGACTAGAAAGAAAGAAGCAATGGATCGTCGTCCCCCGGCCACTCTTTGCAAAATGAATAATGCTAACTTGACATCAACACTAGAACCATGATGGCATCCCAATACTGTTTTTAAACTTGCATTGCCATTATTAGGGGGAAGAGGACTGTCTAACAGGAGGCCTAGGCAATGGCTATGTGTGCTAAACTTGATAAGAATGCCCCATATGCTTCCTGTTTCTTTGTTGAAAAGAAAGAAAGAAGAAGAAACCTTTCAAATTTAAAGCTTGATGCTTTACCTAAGCCAAGAAAAGCAAAAGTTGAGAGAGAACTTAGAGGCCACTTATCATCACACTTGTTAGATGAGAGATCATTGTGAAGACACAACAATATCAAATTGCTTGTTCGTGGCATAAAAGCTACCTCACTGAAAATCTTAATTCACCATCTCGTCTTTTTCAAGGCACCTACTCTCTTGGGTCACATCCTTCGAGGCTCTATGTCACTAGATCATAAATCAAACCTACTAATCCCTAGCAACTATGCACTATTATAAATAAAAATGAAAAAGAATCACAATTGTTATCAAAAATACATTGATTTTTTTAGAGTTTTTTTTAATTTTAACATTTAAAAATTTAATATGTTTTCAAATAAAAAATAATTTTAATTACAATAACAAACATAGATAATACCCGTTTTAATTTTAACATGTAAAAATCTAATATGTTTCTAAATAAAAAATAATTTAAATTACAATAACAAACACATATATATAATATCCGTTTAAATCACAACACTAAATACATACAATCTATAGTCTGGCGGCTGATACTTTTAAAGATATTTTTTAAATTAATTTGTCTAAAAAACTATTAGAGTTACTCTTTTTTTATATATAATTTTAATGTAGAGATATTTTTTTTTTGAAAAAACACAATATATTTTAATTTAAAAAATATTTTTAAAAATTATCATGCTCCATATTATCCGTCACACTTGATATCCATACACAGAGACGTTAGCGTGAATCACATAAACTAATATTCTGAATCAATCACAGCACGATCATCGGATAAACTCCCTATTTAAATTTCAATATAGAAAAAAAGTATTCTTGATTTACAAAAACACAGAAAAAAATCTTGATATAGACAATTAGATGGGAGTAGAAGTAAAGGAATGAAAAAATTTATATTAATTATTTTTTCTTTCTCTCGAGAGTTATCCTCGTATTTTTGTCAAGAGTAACTAAGATTTATCATGAAGCCATGTTAACATGTACACTACCATCCATGACAGAATCACATACTGGGCAAGTACCAATCAGATTGGACCCACATAATGTACACAGGCACAGGTGCCTGCATGGCAGCAGCAACACACTTGATTCCCTCTCCCCACACTTTTTACACATCCGGATGTGGTTGGTATTTTTACCGTTCCTGTTATCCTTCACCACCACCAAGTTATCCTTCACCACGCCCTCTTCTCCACCTGCCAACGGGCACCTCCCATGATCACTGCTTCCACAACTGGATACCGCATCGTCTGCCACCGTGGCACCACCACCATTTACGTAGCGGTCCTCGCTAACGTGCGCCAAAACTTGTTCTAAATTGCTGCGTAACGAATTTGCTGTAGCCTCATTGGCTTGAGCTATATCCCTCCAAATTTGAGTCTCCACGTATAAACTCTTCACTTTTTCTTGAAGAAACCAGTTCAATTTTCCCATCCTTTGAATCTCTTCATCTTTCTCTACTAATCTCTTCACCATCCCTCCTTGTATTGCCGATACCAGCATTCTCGACTGCCTCTTTCTCCTGTCTTCAAGTTCCATTCTAACTTTCTGATTCTGAAAATCAAAGTAAGGAAAAGAATAAGCCCAGATATACCAAAGTTTTGATCTTTTAACAAAGTTCAAATAATCCCACAACACAATTCATGAAAAATAACCAACTTACATGTTCAGCAATGAAACGGTCAATTTCAGATTGTTGTTGTTGGATCTGAAAGATGATGTCTTGATCAATAAAAGAAGAAAAAGGGCAGACTTTGGTCTTCTGAGAGGCATGAAAAGCATCATAGTTGTCATTGATTGAATCTCTAGACCTCTTTCTTGGAGCAACAGCAGCGGGAACATTGTAGGTGAGCCCACTATCATCTTTATTAGAAGCTTTAGCAGAAACTGGGTCACAAACAAGAGATGATTGATAGAATGACAAGATTGCTTCAGGCATTGCTTCATTAAAAACAAGGCCAGAATCCATCTGGGTATTGTATAAACTCATGTTTGCTTGATTTACTTTCGCAAAATCCCTGCAAAACAAAAACCCATGTAAGAAAAACAGTACTGATAAATTGATGATAAGAACAAAAAAGGTGGAAACTTGGTTGTTTAGTGTATGTTTTAGTACCTGTTTGTGAGAAGATGTGAAGGAAAGTTAAGGTTCGTATGAGGAGCTTCAACTGCCATGAAGGGTAGTTAAAATTCTTTGCTTGTGAATTTTGGTTGCTTTGGTTTTTGGTTATGGAGAGAAAAGAGAGATGATGTATCTGAGAGAGTACTGGGAGAGAGCAAGAAATATATGCTTTGAGAGGAGAAGGGCATGCAATAGAGGAGATGGAACTATGGGATTTGGTTTATTTAGGTTTGGCTATGAAGAGATGGAGACAGAGAAAAGTCAAAAGACTGACTTATAGATATGAAAAACATCTTTAAAAAAAGGAAAAAAAATATTTATTATCTTCTTACATCACTCTTCTCTGTTTACAAATCAGTAAAAGGATGATTAAACAAAATAAAATAAAGAAAGAAAGAAAAGCAGTGGTGGCAGATTTTGTCGTTTTGCACTTTTTTATTTGCCGTTTCACTCATTTATTGCATTTAATTCACTCCCTAAACAAGAAGCCTCCTAAATTTTCTAGATTCCAGGATGGATTTGGTCTGGTTTTTCCTTAAGCAGAGGGGTAATTTTGGTGTTTCACACACCTGAACGTTAATTTCCATTTTTAATTAATATTATTAACTGAACAATTAGAGAGGCGCATCTGCCAGCCTGCCACGTATCAAAAGCATTCTAGTTGTGCCACGTAAGCCATTGCAAGAATCCAAACCCCCCACAACAACACGGAAAAAAGAAAAGAAGAGGGTCATGCCTCAGAGGGAGCGTGATCATGTGGGGTCCGAACCTCGCACGTGGGGCAGGTAGTGGGCCAACGTGCTACACGTGCGACCTGTGTGCTTACTGTTTACTACTTTTATATTTCTCGATATATCGAGAAATAAAAGTGGGGGATGGCATGGCCCACATTTGGTTTCCCACTTTTATGGGCCCCACCATAAGGGACGAGGGTGGGACCCCCTTCACTTTCATTCCAGTTTCCCTGTTTGAGCGACCTTGTCCCCTTCTTGAACCGGGGTGTCTTTTTTCTTTCTTTGCCTGTACGGACAGCTAGGCAGGGGTTAATTATTTGGTGTGGGGCCTCCGCACCCACATCCTACTATAATAGATTTAATGATTTTTTTTTCAAGGATTAGCCATAATCACACATTTATTTTTTAATAGCAGGGTTAGTGGTTGTAGAGTTAGGCAAATCTGACATCGTTTGTGATTTGTGCGCTAATCTAATTGTCAATGAAAGTGATTAGGGTTTTATGATAAATACATTGAATTTGAATACAATCAATCACACATTCATGGATATATATTTGGATACATATAATTCTCGTTCTTGACCGCTTCATAATATATTTATTGTGAATTATTGATAGCATGATTTAATTTGTTTAGATACATATGACCAATGACATGCAAAGGATTTAGCAAGTGATTTACATGGATGTTGTTTTATTATATAGTATAGTATTTATTTGTTTATTTCCTTTGAAAATTCATCATTTTTTACTTAAGAATAATTATTTGAAATTCCACATTGTTGATCACATGATTAATTGAAATTTGGCAAGTGAAGGGACCTCGAATTGAGGGTGGTTTTGACTTTGGAATGGCATGAGGTTTACCCAAACATAAGGGATTCCGTGAGGATACCACGTTTTATTTGTTTAGGATTGAGAAGGTCATAATTTTCTAGTTTTTTTTCTATAAATTTTGAACTCTCCCAAGGGAAATGTTAGTTGCCATATGAAGACTTTTCTTGTGATATATTAATTAATTTAGACTAGCCATGGAGATTTTATGATGTGATTACAGAAAATAGGGATTACATTTGAGTTGCAGGTTAATCTAGCCAAAAATCTTTACTAGAATTAACATGAAACAATTAACTTACTTTAAATTTCAGGTATCGTGTAGTTATTTCTTTGAGATCGAGAAGATATAGATAGTAGGAATGTAAATAACATATTTTTATTTTTTTGAAAATACATGAATTTACTCCAAAATAATTATAGATATAAATTTAATTTATATCTCTATTTTTTTTTTAACAAAATACGTGTTTTTTATATTTTATTATTATTTAAAACAGAAACTAAATACAACTTTTAAAACTAAACATGTAATTTTATACAATTATTATTTTGTGTTGAATATTAATGCTTATTTCATTGAAATTTTTTTATCCAAATTACTTTGTTATCGAATAATCTTAATCACTTCATGGTGTCCATAAGCCATGATTCAATAATAAATAATTTTAGAGAATAATTTTTTTTATAACATTAGAACACGTCATAATTTTGAATATAATTCAGTGGTAATGAACTAATATTGTTGGTATATGTAGATATCAAATGATCCAAAATTGGCTAAGTACTTTAACAACTACACACTTAACATCCATACTTGCACCATTTCTACCTTATAGTCTTTTGAAAATGATAGAAAACCTACTTATTGCAAGTGAGCTTAAGCTTACAATAGTTAATTGGTAATAAAATCTGAATTCTACCACTCACATGTTCCAACTTATATGCAAGTGTGCAATTAACTAGGGATTTTGAGTTGACGAGTTATTTCCTTATTCTTGAGAGTGACTATTTACCTATAGATCATATCGAATATGTACATGATATAAGAAAAAAATCCATTTATAATTTTAGGAGTGCATTCCCTTTTTGAGATAGTAATTGTAAATGAAATGCACGCAGCAGTCTTGTTGCTTACATGAAAATGCAGAGGCAAAAGGCCATATTGCCATTCTTATCTCGTAAAAAGGTGCAAGTCATAAAGGTTGAAAATTGCAATACCATCCAAGATGGTAATTTTAATTCTTAAGTTAAACTAGGATTGTTCTTGGCATCACATGCCAATTTTGGATGGAAATTGAACTTCTTATAATATAGTCATGCATGCACCATATTCTCCATATGCCCCCACAAGGGAATATATAGTTTTTTGCATCTAGCTATATTCTTTCTTTTTTCTCTAGTAGAATCATAAATGTACCACATCACCGAGGATCTTCTTGCTTCCAAATGGCAAAGGTTCGTGGTGATTGCCTCGCTCACCTTAGATACCTTAACGTTCAAGTTGGGTGGGCAGACCAAGTGGACCAACGGAGGACAAGTACTTTTTAATTTTCAAGAAAAAGTCAATAGAAAGTTAGTTTGCGGATAGAATATCAAATTTTCAATGATAGCGGTGGTGTGCACAAGTTTTATACGGTTTTAATGGCCATCTGTTGTCTTCTCCGGTGAAGAGATTGTGCAAAAAATGATTTGGAAATTGTAGTTGAATTCCAAATGTCGACCTCTAAGTCTCTAACCATAACCAATGTGCAATCTATATAAAGCTTTCATCTTAGTATGAAGACTCGTAAAAGCGTAAAGGGATATGAGAAATTAAAAAAGAAAAAAAATCAAATCTTAAATTAAGAAAAATATAAGATAAGCTGACAAACAAAATAATAAATGAACCGGATAAACACAATAAAAGAGGCTGAGAACCATAGTGAAAGAGTTGAAGTATGAAATATATATAAAATCCAAGTTAAAGTTCTCAAATTTCAAATAATATTATCCGTCAACCAAATTAGATGGTCCCCCGGCACCAAAATTGAATCCATTGTGTCATATGTTATTGACCAAAGTGAATGAAGATATTGAACAGTCGCCCCCACCATGTCTCAAACCAATCTAACATCCTCTTTAAACCAACCAAAACTCCCGCACAATCAAAGATAAAAGGAGAAAAAAGACTTAAAAAAAAAGAAAAATTGAAAGAACAGAAGTTGCCACCAAAAAAGAAAAGCATTATCATATCCACCGTCCCCTCCTCATCTTTTTTCCATTCCCTGTACATATTACTGCTCAGTACTCTTCGACATCATTATCCCAATTGTGCATATTCCCTTCAAACCCTATGTATGTTTGATCAACTTTAACCACCTTAAAGACAACAAAAGCTACGGACAAAGAGAGCCCAATAAAAAGAAAGCAATCCCTCTATTGTATACTTTAACCTGTAAAATGTATATGGATTAAGTAATGCGTATAGCAGTTTCTTGATAGTTAGAATATGTATTCAGTAGCTATCATGGGCAAATGGGTGAGAGTCTGAATGGATTTATGCTTTAAATTATTCATGAGATGGGCTTGCATCACATTTGTAAGAATGTAGATATAAAGTGACAAGAGGTTTAAGCAAAACTGTCCTCTTTAAAAGCATCTCCAAACTACCATACAAAAGGACATTCTGCTTACATAAAGTTGGAACATCAATTTCAATTAATATTGTTAATATATTGTTAGACAGTAATACAAAATTATTTAGCAACCTTCATTCAATAGTTTGGATTTTTAAATAAGCCAAGTATTCAAATCTCATGGTGTCTGTTTTCTTTGATTAAATTGATAAAATTAAATACAAAGTAGCGGTGAAAGTTTTGATTTTAAAAGATTTTTATTTAAAGAGAGTTTTAATTGAATATAAAACTCTGATTTAATAAATCTTGAATGCATGTTTTCTTTTATTTCCTTGTCGATACCGGTTTTCAATCAACTGCATGATTTATGGTGAGGAAGCTTGGATGTTTTCTAGGCCGAAGTCTGATTAATCAAATGAGGAATCAAGATTCATCACACATGAAATAACCGATCCAATAAATTTTAAAACCTCGGAAATAAAAAAAAAAAAACCCAAAGCTTCGCGGTGATATCCTACGAATTTTATCATCCGTGAACAACTAATGATCAAACCAACTGAAAAGGGAATAGGAGAAAAAAGGATTTTTCCCGAAAGAAAATAATTTATAGATAGAATTGAAGTATCCTTTTGAAAAAGTAGTGTTTCAAGCATCAAAAGGCACTAGAGCCATGCCATCCACTCTCAACTTTATCTCACCTTCTTCAATATCTTTTCAAAGGTTGGCATTATATGCCCAACCACTAGGAAGATCCCGTGATGATTCAAAAAGCTCTCAGAAATGGGAGCCACACCAACACGAAGAACAGTGGAACTCTCCTTTATTGGTTTCCCTGCCTCCTTTAGGATTTTTTTTTTCCAATCTCCCACAGTTGTGAGTTTTCTAATCTAAAATGTAATCTTGTAAGCACGAGATGAAGCAGAATCCCTTTATTACAAATTTGGAGGGGGGACTTTTTGAAGTGGGTAAAGCTACATGATCATTAAAATGTGTGGAAAGTCATTGATCATAAAGTCTCCATTCTTTTCAACTAAAGCAACAAAAAGAGGGCCTTGGGCCCCT